GTCCGACGTTGTGTCCTTGGGAAAGGCACTTTACACGAACTTCCCACTCGCCTCGGTCCTATCGGAGACGGACGTTAAACTAGGAGGTCCTGCGATTTATATAACCTAATAGCGTTGATAGGAGCGTTAAACCCATACCATTTTCAGCATTGTTACTCTACTGAATGCAACTTATGTGTTTGGCAATTTGGTATAATAGGGAAATGTCAACGTCCTTGATTCAGAACAAATCCATACAAAATACATGTACTTGCTTTGTGTGTGTGCGTTCCTGATCTCTTTAGGGCTTAGACATTCAACTGGATCGGTCCACTTCAAGGTGCGCCAATAAAAAAAAACAACTTCAACCCGTTTAAGCATAATAGACTCGTCCTGTCCACGACGCGGAAGGTTATTTGTATTTGGTCTCTGTTTGTTTTCGAGTAGTTTGCCATGCAGAAGCGCTCGGGTTGTCTCTGTCATGAGAAACAAGTCTGAAATACCATTCACCTATTCCACATATTCTATTCAACAAGCAAAGGGAGAAAGGAGTCACTGCTCTCTACAGAATCACAATTCGTGTAAAGTGCCTTTCCCAAGGATACCACGTCGGGCCCGCGGCTCGAACCCCCGACCCCGCAACCTAACATTTTCGTTCACAGAGGAATTTGGGTAGCTAGAACGTGGATCATCAAAAGGGGTCTGTCCCTTTAGTAAATTCTCTTACTCAACGATAAATTGTGTTATATGAAGAAACAGATTCTCCACAGACATCCTGCAAATAAATATTCATGAATTTAGTTTTGCCCATTACCCAAATTCACACTGCATGTTAAACGTAAATTGGACATTGTTATCTTGTGAAGTTTATTCCCTTAATTGTTTTCTCAAGAGGGCAAACAGTAATACAGAGTGACATCACATGAAACTGCTCATGCTATGGTTGATTCGAGAGCAGCCATGTTCTAAACTGATTGTTTAATGTGCATTTTTTATATGACAGAAGTAAATATCTTAGCTAATAGATACCAACTTCCATAAATTTCTGATCCACCCTCGTTTAATTTCAGAGTGGTATTATTCTTATTTCATTTTTCCTTAAACATATATAATCAATCACAGTATGGGCTGATTACTGTTTTCATTCTCATCTCCATCCTTACCATCGCAAAGCACTTAATGTGTTTATGCTCATTTTTATAAATTATCACAATTCGTCCTTCTGAGGCATAGAAAAATGTCTGTGTTACAAGGTTTGGGTCAATTTGACCCCC